CCCTGCCTCCTCTCCCTCCCTTCCTGCCTCCCTCCCTGCCTCCCTCCCTGCCTCCCTCCCAGCCCAGACTGTAGCCGCCGGGCTGTGAGCTCCGTCCTTCCCCGGCGCTCTTCCTGGGACGCGCGCCCGACTCCCGACTCGTTTCCAATTGGCCGTCGGGGGAACGGAAGCCGAAGCAGAGCAGTGAACCCGGAAGTGCTTCGCCGCGGAGGCCCGGGCGACTCTTTTGAATGGAATCGGGCTGATTCATCGCCGGTTCGCGGAGCCAGATCCCGGCCGAGTCTGACCCCCTGCTGCCGCCACCGCCGCCGCGGCAGCGTCACCGCAGCTGGAAGACCAGGGTCCAGACCGCGGACCCCGCCCGCCTTCAGGTAAGACGGAGAAGTCAGGCCCGGGAGGTCCGCGGAGACGGCCGCGCTAGGCCGCGGCCAGCCCCGTGCTTTCCTGAGTCACGTTGCCCAGCCGAGTGGCCACTGGAGGCCCGCGCCCTGGCGGACGGGCCCTGGCTCCTTCGTCTGCGTCGCGGGCGGCCCGGGTCCCTGGCAGAGTTAGGTCTGGGTGTGAGCTCCATCCTCCTGGCGTTTCAGCTCCTCTGAATAGACATCTTGGGAACCTCTCCTTCCTAGGCTGGGAGAACCCGTGTTCAGGCCCTCCGTCTGTGCTCTGTTGATAGTTACTCCTGCTGTGAGAAACTTCAGACAGTGGGAACAAGGGAGAGGGAATAAAATTAACTTTCTGATTGAGTGCATGTTTGCTTGATCACTTGACCTTCCCATAGGCCTTGACTTTTCTCTTAGTGTTAGGTTTTTCAGTTCCCTTAAACAAACAAACAAACAAAAACCCCCAGAGATTCACTGTTTTTTTTTATCTTGGAGATCTGCAAAACAAAGTGTGGTTATTCCTGCTATGCCTTTTAACCTAAGTAGTTGTTGGTGAATTGATTACATTTCCTGTTTTCAGTAAAGTAGAAATAGGCTACTGTGTGTTACCCCTTAATTTTGGGGGGGACGTTACTTAGTTTCAGTCAAAAGAAGAAAAATGTAAACTTTAGGAAAGAGTCCGAATATAAATCTGGCCGATGAAAAACTCTTGAAATTTAAATGGTATCAAAAGTTGAAAAAAGGTTTCATGGGAGAGGGAGAAAAGCAGCTTTAAAAATTAGCGTAGAGATGGAGTTCTGGTGTGAAGATAACTTTTTTCGCTGCTCACAAAGTATGTTTTTAGTGCTGCTGACTTAATGTTTATGAGTAAAGCAACAAGACAGTCGATGATGTTGAAATAACAAAAAAGAACTGACTACAATTTTAGTGGAGATGATAAATGTAACGTTGACCTTCTTGTTCTGTCACGTAGGCCTACCGACCTTCAAAGTTTAAATTATATGCTTCAAACAAATTGTATGGGTTTTTGTGCATTTAAAGAGATTAAGACATATAGTGGTTCAGAATTAACTAGTTATGGTGTGTATAGTGAAATGCTTTTTAATGAAAAGCCTGAATATTGTCTTAAATTTGTCCCAGAACAAAATTACGTCAAGCCAACAGAAGAAAGTTTTGAAGTCATGATCTTTCAGTGAAGCCTCACCTGTTGAATTTAGGAGACTTTCTCGCTCTGGGTGCTTAGAAAATACTATATTGCTGTTCTAATGGAAAAGCTGCATCTTAAATACCTCTATTTTTATACTTGTCATGTAAACTGTGTTTAGTATCTAAGTTCAGAACCCATGTTTGCCAATCAGTAACAAAAAGCAATGGTGCTTTTATTTTTTTCAATTTCAATAAAAAAGCAATGTTTGTTTCGTAAATCAGTGTCCACCGGTGAAAGCCTTACTTGGATACTCATGTGATTTCTTACTTGTGAACTTGTCAGATACCCTGTTTCTTGCACTTATTTGACACTCATATTCTGTTTTGTGATATTTTTATGTCCCCATCTGTAAAATGAGAATTGGATTCAATAATCTCTTCCAGCTCTAAGATAATAATAATAGTAACAACAGTTATTGAGTACCTATGAATGTTCCAGGTACTATATTAGGTGCATTGTATTTATTTCAGCAGACTTGAAAGGTGGGTATTGGTCCCATTTGATTTAGAGTCTAGAAGAAGATACCTTGCTCCAGATCCTGTATCTTATAGATGTTGAAACCCAGGATTCAAATCTAGGCCTGATTGGCTCCAGAGCCTTTCAAGCTCTCCTCTACTATCCTTTCATTTTATGTATTTTTTTCATGGGTTTATATTATGTGTCTCCAGGTAGATTGTGAATTCTTTCAGTGCAAGCCACTAAGCTTCATAGTGGCTCTATTTTTGTATTACTTTATACACCCGATAGTACTTAATAATTGTTTAGATACCTATTATAATACTGTTCTGAGCTGGGGAAAATCTTGCTTTCAAAATCCTGTTTATATAATTAAGCTTAATGTTGACTCTTTGTATTTCTTCCACTGAAGAAAGCCCTTAAGAATGTGAAAGAAGTTCCTAATTACTTCCCACAAATCAGAGAGTAGAGGCATTAGAAATACAGTGAGATCACAAATGTGGAGTAGTTTTCAAAGGATTTAGCATCAGTCTGAGAAATAATAGTATTTAATTGCAGCATGGGTTGGGGAGTAAAAAAGGAAAATAAGAATCATAATGGTAAACCCAAAGAGCTAAGGGCTTCATGACTTTGTTTGAATTTTATGAATTATTGGCGTCCCAGTGTCTCTTGTGAAAAGGTTGAAAAGTTAAAAAAAAAAAAATTATTTCCTTAATCCAGATTAAGATAATTTTGAAGGATCTGTTTTTGAAGGTTATTCATGGTTCCATAAATTTCCTATAAATGTTTGAGAATCAGTATTTTAATTACATCATGCACATGTTCTAACTGTATCAGGTTCTAATCAGATATTAACTCAGGAGATGAAAAAATACAAAATCATTAACCTTTTGAAAGTAATGATATTTTGTACTGGTTTTACCAATTAGAATGCATTACTGTATGTTTGTCATACTACATGTAGTTAAACACTTTATTCATGTTATGTGATCATGTTTTAAGTAGTTAATCACATCATGAATGAGCTCTTGAGTCCTCCACTCTTTGATAGGTGTAAAAATTTGGTTTAGATTCATAGACCCTTTTTGTGTTGCTTTTATTTCTAAGAATTGGAAGTATTTTTTTATAGTGTAACACTTTAACTTTATTTTTTATTTATTTATTTTTAATATATTTTTATTGATTTCAGAGAGAGGAAAGGAGAGGGAGAGAGAGACAGATAGCAACATCAATGATGAGAGAGTCATTGGGGACCTAACCCACAATCTGGGCATGTGCCCCAACTGGGAATCGAACCTCGATCTCCTGGATCCTAGGTCCATGCTCAACCGCTGAGCCACGCCCGGCCGGGCATAACTTTATTTTTTTAACACTTTAATTTTATGAATCCCTTTGCTAAATTCTTCAAAATGCAAGTCCCTTTTCTCCATCGTGATTCATTTAGGACTGTGAAATACACCCAGTGTTTTGAAGCTCTCTATGTGGGTAGAAGAAAGTGTTGGAAGAACTGTAGCTGTGCCCATAGGATAGTAGTGCTGATGACAGCAGTTAGCATTCATTGTGTGCTTATTATGCACAAACATTGTGTTACATGTTGTTTATGTCCATCATCTTCTTTAATCTTTAAAACAACTCTATGAGATGGATACTATCATTATCCCCATTTTGTGGATGGGGAAACTGAGCTTGAGAGAGGGGACTGACCCGAGGACACAGATCTAATAAGTGTTAGAGCCAGGATTTGAGTCCTGGCACTCGGACTACAGAGTCATAGCTCTTAACTCTCATGTACCAATAAAAATAGTCATCACCATTTACCATCTGTGTGCAGTGGGCCTTTTAAAATTTCTTACACCTTTAAATCATGAATAATGTACAGAAGTAAAAATAAAGAGAGTAAAAAACAACCATGTTAAAAATGATAGTAAGTTTAAACATAGAAAATACAAATTTTTATTCTCTGTTTTCCTGGTTTTGAAGGTATATGTATCTGAAAAAGGCAACATCCTTTGAATGTAATTAACTGCTCATTATTCATCATGCATGAACCTGGTCCATATCCATCTTGTAAAGATGAGCTCCACATTTTAAATGTATTTTTTTTTTTTAATATATCTTTATTGATTTCGGAGAGAGGAAAGGAGAGGGAGAGAGGGAGATGGAAACATCAATGATTTGAGAGTCATTGATCGGCTGCAGCCCGCAACCCGGGCATGTGCCCTGACCGGGAATCGAACCCCGATCGCCTGGATACTAGGTCGACGCTCAACCGCTGAGCCACGCCCGGCCGGGCGAGCTCCACATTTTAAATACCTCTCTAAATAGGCCCTACCTTATTATTTCTTCTGGTTCTTGCATTTGCAATACTTGGTATGTGTGTTAAGCACAACCTAGCCCTGGCTAGTGTGGCTCAGTTGGTTGCTCATTGTCCCATGCACCAAGACGTCACATGTTCTATCCCTGGTCAGGGTATGTGCCAGGCTTTGGGGCTTGATCCCCAGTGGGGCGCATGCAGGAGGCAGCCAATTAATGATGTTTCTCATCAGTGTTACTCACTGGTTCTTAAGTTTGAGAAAATGAATCTAAGATACTGTCATCTAAAGATGCATAATCTGAGATTTTGTTCATACTAGTGGTTCTTGACTGGGAGTGATTTTGCCCTTCCAAAGGACATTTGGCAATATCTGGAGACATTTTTGATTTATCACCACTGGGTAGTGCTATGGGCATCTATTGGGTAGATAGGGATACTGCTAAACATCCTATAATATACAAGACAGCCCCCTCTAACAAAAAATTTTTTGGTTCTGAATGTCGGTAGTGCCCCTCAGAACCCTGGCTTATACCATCAATTTTACTGTCATTATTAGAGAATAGAGTACTGTTACTTCTTTCTTTACATTCATCTTGTGATTCTCTAATAATTGTGAAACTTTTATCCTTTGTCAATTCTCTTTTTACCATTATGGGTGAGATGGAAAATTCTGAATTCTCAACTGTGTTCAAAAAAGCTAAAAAAGACTACAAAGAAAATTTCTCTAGTCTCTCTCTTTTTGAAAGATGAAGCAATGCTTTAGACAGCACAATAAAAACTAAAGGATAATGCAGTAACTAATGTATTTCATGATCGCTTCATATTGAACGGTGGTTATCATTTTTCCATTTTCTTGTTATTTTAGTCTTTTTGGCATAATTGGAAATAATGGATTAAGAAATGATGAACTAATTTCTAGGATAATGAAGTAGCAAATTTCAAGATATAGGACAAATGACTCCATAATGTATCATAGATTTGTGATATGTAATGTTGCAATGGACCTATATTGTAATTGCACAATCAAATGAATTTTGTTCTATTTGAAAATATAAGTAAATTTTCTCTTTGTTAAAACACCTCTTTCTAAAAGTTATGAAATGTCAGTTTTTACATATAATTAGAACTGCTCAAAAAGAAAACCTTAGAAACAAAATTTTGATACAGGATTAATCACTATGTTCTAGAGCTCCCCAGGATGGTATTTCATTTTATACCCTTGGAAATGGTTTTTAAAAAATCAAATTTGATTTCTGTTTTGTTTTTAAGAATTTTGCTTCTTGTAAAGCTCTTGTTATATTTTCTTTTTTAGTTCTCAACATAATTATATCTTATTTTATTCATTTTTTTTTTTTTTAGGAGAGAGGAAAAAAAAAACTTGGAAAAAAATCATACCTGCCAGTATTAGCAAGAGCTTGACTTAAGAAGAAACTTGTCAAAGTCAACAGATTGAAGCTTAACACCACAGGAGTTGTAGTTACTGACCAGGTAAGAATTAAGAATGTATTTTGTTCTTACATATTCTTTCAGGAAGTGATATATGGATGTGATGAAACACATCATTTTTAACACATATGAAATTATAAATCAGATAACCAGATGTAAGGGCTCATGAAAGTCGTTTAGATAACTGGCATTTTTGTGTTTGTTTGCTTTCTATAAACTTAAAGTGATATGATTTAGAACATTTATCAATATATTTCATTTCCAAATGTTAGTATTTTTATTAGATCTGATTATCTTTTCTTAAATGCTTTAGTTTGTTAAATATTTTTTCCTGTTTGCTGAGACATCTAATTTTGCTAAAAACACAAATTTGACCTGCCAGATTTTCTTTCCCTCTGCTCCCCACATTGCTCATGTATATTCACAGCATCTGGAGTCTGTGTAAAGTCATCAGAAACAACACAGGGAATAGATAAACTGAACACAGCTGGGAATCGACTTTGGCCTGGAATATGTATAATGTCTAAAGTTGTTAGGTTTTTTGTTTTTTTTTTTAATCCTCACCCGAGGATATATTTTCATTGGTTCTTTTTTAGAGAGAAAGGAAAGGAAACAGAGACAGAGAGAAACAGCAACGTGAGAGAAACATCCATCAGTTGCCTCCCGTACTGCTCTAACCGAGGATCCAACCCACAACCTAGGCATGTGTCCTGACCAGGAATCAAACCACAACCTTCTAATGTACAGGACAGTGCTCCAACCAACTGAGCCAACAGGCCAGGGCATGTTGCTAGGGTTTTTTCCCCATTTGTTTTTAAGTTTGTAAGCTTGAAATGGTCCAAAAGAAATTTTTTTCCTTTGATAATATATTCTAGAGAAATTTCTTTAATATTTTAAAATATACAGGTTGGGTGGTGGTTGTTTTTTTCTATAGCCTTTAAAAAGTACTATATATTGAATGCCATATTTGAGTTGAAGAATTTTAATGAGAATTTGATGGAGATTTTATTTGTAAATGTTCCTCTGAGGAGTATGAGTTAAGGTTGTAAAGCAGAAATTTGGACTATCAGGTTTTCATTTTTTAAAAGGAGTTTATTTGTTGTTAATCTCACAAACTTGTAGAGTGAAAGCCAGATACTAAAGTATATGATTACATTTATATAGAATTCAAAAGTAGCAGAACTGATCTATGCTGTTAGAAGTTGGAATTCTACTTTTGTGGGGTGGTAGAGACTAGGAAGGGGGCATAGGAGGTGTTCTTAGGTGCTGATGTTCTGTTCCTTCATTTAGGTCTAGGTGGTGGTTATGGGGGTGAGTTCACTTTATGAAAATTCCCTGGTTGACTCATTATGTACTCTTTTGTATGTGGACTTGAATAAAGTTTGCAATGTTAGCATTGTTAAATATTCTCAGGATTAAATTGTTAGCAGAATTCAACAAACATGATTAGGCAGTAAAGTAGTGGTCATAAGTATATTATTGAGTTTCAGTTTGTATAGCAGTTTTAACTAGTAAAACAATATGGACAAATGACTAATCTGTTAGCATTTAACTTAGAATATATTTGTGGTAATACCATTTTCTAAAGCATACACTTAGGAAGAAGAGGAATTTTAAGGCATAGTAGCAAATAGGAAAAAAGCTTTGTTTAAGTGTTTAGTTGTACTGGGTATTAGTTAATTTTTATAACTTGATTGCTTCTTTTTGTGTATTTGAGGCCATGTTAGTACCCTTGCTATATTTTTCCTTTGAGTTTTTTGTGAATTTTTCAGGTTTTTCAGAATGTCTTCTGTAGTTACTCCAGACATAAAAAACAAATCAGATTGATATTTCAAAGTTAATCCCCTTTGTATTGATTAACTCTTAAGATTATAATTGAGAACAGCAGCTGCATTTCCTCAGTGAAAATGGTACCTATCTCCACAATATCTGAAATAACACAAAACGTCTGTGTGGGTTCTAAAACACTATCTTAATGCATATAATATTTACTTTTAGTATTCCTTTTAGTATAATGAGTTCATTTTTAAAAAGCCTTTGATGCAAATTCAGAGATCCATAATCTGCTCGCAATGTCTTTCACATGTAGTTTTGATGATAACTGACAAGCTTGTAAGTTAATTAGCACAGAACTTACTAATGAGGATGTTAAAATTTAATTTAAAAGTGAGGATTTTTATTTGTACACTCTGGACAAATTGAAGGAAATTCAATCATACAGATGATAAGCATTTCAGGCAGTTTTTCCTCATTCAGGTACTTTTATTAGATAACAATAAGAAAATATAATTAACTTAATGATAGCAAAGTTTTGAAATTATGCTAAGATTGCTTGTCTTTAAAACTGGGGATAACCCAAAACCAAAGCAGTAAGATAAGGTCTGTTAATTAGCATGGAAGACAGCTTCTTGAATTAATATGTGGTGTTAATTAACAGGAAGTCTGATGTTGTGTTGTAATTACCACCAATATTTTTGACATACTGAGTGACTGAAGGTGAATTATATAGATAGCAATTGAGTAAACACTTTTGTGCTTAGAAACGTTTTCCTTTGTTTCTGTTTTCTAGAAATATGGACAGACTTCTTAGACTTGGAGGAGGTATGCCTGGACTGGGCCAGGTTAGTATACAGACTCTCAGTATTTCTTTGTATAAACTGCAAGCCTTTTTCTAGTTATCCAAAGAGAAAGAAATCATTCCCAAGAAAATCACCTCATAGATAACCTTATGGTAAGAAGTTTACCTTATTGCTGGTTGCTGTATTTCAACACTAAACATGTGGAGAACATTTTTTATTATCTTAATTTAATTTTCACCTAGGAATAAGAATTTTCTCTGTTTGCTTTCATTTAAAATTTTGGGATATGTGAGATTAACAAACTTGCCTTTTAGTAAAAAGGGGACTCAGAATATCTTATTTGGGGGTTTACAATGTAGACTTTAGAAGTAACACATGAAAAGGTAAACATGACATACTCTTGATAAGATCTAGAAAACTGACCCATAGAATGTTTGTATGTATAATCTTAAAACTGATAAATTCCTGTTAGTAATTATGATACATGGATGAATTAATAAGTAATATCTCTTTTTTCTCTAATTTTGGTGCAGATTTTTTTTACAGTCTTACTAAAATTAAGTGAATTTTCAGTTGTCTTAATATTATCATTTATCTTGTTCCATGCTATTGGACAAATGACCCCCTAATAGATTTCTATCTCAGGGTATTATATCTACCTTCATCTAAAGAAGAAATTTCTGCATCTTGAGTTCTGCACTAATTATCTGTTCACTCCTCTATTAACAAGAGAGATGACTATGTGTTGTTCCTTCCTTTTATGTAATGGATTGTTTTATTACCAAGTTTGTGACTATTTTTATAACCCACCTTTAGAACCCCTTTAGTTACCAACTTTACCTCATTTCCATATCACTATTGATGACTTTGTCGTCTTTCATTCAGAGTAGTCTATATTTTGTGTAAAAAACAGTTTCGTCTTAAATTTCATGAAATTTTATGTTTTAGAGGCATTTTTTCCCCAATAAATCTTTGATTAAATCTATCATGGTTTATGACTAATAAATCTTTTAGAAAGTTGAAATCATTTTGTGATTCTGTATTGCATCCTTGCATAGGCTTCAGTTATTTTTTTGCTTGCTTTTGTTAGATTTAAGTATTCTCATGTTTCTCTACTATCAGCCTGCTTCTTTGGATTCTTCAGTTTTGTAAGATGTAATCCATTTTCTTAACAGGTCTAAGCATCTCTGAACTTGACCCTCCCAAAGCTGCTTCTGTACTTTTATAAACATTCTATATAGCTTATAAAATTTCTCTAACTTATTCTGAAATTAACAACTTTGTTAAGACATATAAAAGTGTCAGAAGTGAACTGAGGTGGTATGTAGGCACTGCAAATTTGCAGATTCACCTGCAAATTACAGGTAAGGATGTTGCCCTAGTAGAATTCTTAAGGGAAGTTGCATCAAATTTAAATACCAAAATAACATTCCTTGAGCATTGGATGCAATGAATCATATATGTCCATACTAGAATCCATGCTGGGAAATTGCTGGACGTGAAATAGTGGTTTTACTGACCACAAATTGAGCTACATTATATCTCAGTGACCACTGCAAAGCTTTGCATTAAGTGGAAAACTAAGTTTTGGTTCAGTAACCTCTCTTTGGTTTGTGATAATTTAATCAGCTGTTGGGTCCTCAGTTTTTTCTCATTTCAACTTAAAAAATACATTACTTAAGAATTTGTCATTTCATGTGTGTGTTTCATCTGCCCAGTTAGATGACACACTCTCAAAGGAATAATTTGTGGGGGTTCTAGTTCTGTGATATTTCCTTTATCAGATACGAGGATTTTTTAATTTCAAGGGTTAAAATTTTTTTCTAAGACTTTATGTTACTCTTGTTCTAAACTAATTTGTCATATACTTATGACGTTACTTCTGCAACATGAAATGTTCAGTGCATTGTTTTTAATAAACAGGAGTAAAACACTATTTTTACTAAGGAGTCAAAAGTCTTTGGATGGATCATAGCCACTCTCACCACAGGCTAGCGCACAGCGGCCAGTTAGAAGGAGCAGAGGAGACCTGAGTGCTTTGTCTTCCGGGCATCCGTACAGAAGGTCCTGTCTGACCGTGTAATGGAAAAGGCAGAATTTCTCCTCCTAACAGTTTTCCACAAAACCTGCTGGTAGGTTCGTAGGTAGCCCTTTGACAACATGGGTATAAGAGCAGAATAGGGTCCTTCGTCTTTCTAAGGGCTCCTACCTTTCTCTGAGTAGAAGTAACCTTTCTCTTTCCCATGGCTGACCCTTCAGCTTGTTCTCTGATCCCAACCTTCTTGAAACCTTGCTCCATTGATCACCCCCTTCTCTGCCTATGAAGATACTTAAGTCTCCTGTATCCTAAAAACAAAACTTCCCTCACCCTTTTCTTCCATTTATTTTTAGAATTTCTGAAATAATAGCTTATACTCATATACTTCCTTACCTCCATTGAGTCTCCTGAGATTATATTCTGGCCTCCTCCATTACTGTACTGGAATTGCTTAAATTGCCAAGTCTGTTTGCCTACTTTTAGTTCTCTTTTAACTATACTTCAATATTACACAGTGTTCACAATGCCTTCCTTAAAATTTTCTCTTCCATTAGCTTTATCATGGTAGTTTTTTCCTAGTTCTTCATTATGGTGTCCATACCAACAAAACAACTTAATTTAAAGTTTAATTATTTCTAATATTACATTTTTAAATGTAATAGGCTAAAATAAATCTCTCCACAATCTCCTGCTTCAATATAACTTAGTTTGAAACAAAAACAAGTATTTTATTAGAACTACTAGAATTTGTAAATGAATTCCTTTCAATTTCAAATGTTTTTTTAATTTACTTTGCTAAAGTGCTTGCGAACTTGAAATTTCTAAAAGATGTGAGATGATCGTGTTAAAAGCATTTACTGCTGTAATTTTGCTACCTGGTTGTCTTTATAACTATCCCAGCTTAGGTCTTGGCAACTAAACTATTTCCAAAAGCAGTGAAGACAAAATCCAAGAGATGTGAATAGCCAAAGCATAGTCTTCAGTCTCTGAAAGCGTTAGTTTAAGTCTGGGTCCATTTTAGCTTTAGAAACAGTCAAAGGAAGCCTAAAACTAATAGAAACTTAAGTAAAATGTAGTGGCATTTATTGTCTTGTATATGGATTTGTTAGGCCAATATTTTGAGATCTGTGTGTTGGGTGTTATGTTCTAGGGAATTACCAGGGTAAATAAGAACATCATTACTTAATCTAGGCACCTTACATTCTAGTAGATACATGATAATTATGTTTTAAGTGCCTGGCACATAATAACTACTTTTGAGGGAGAGAATACTAGTGTTCCTTATAAATAGTGATTTGTTAGTATAGTGGATGTAGGGTTTAATTTTTTCCACAAAAAGGGAAAAATGTGCCTGAGGTGATGTTTGAGCTAAATTTTGGAGTATATGCTAAGACATTTAGAAAGGCTGGAGAATAGGTTATGTGAGGGGAAATAATGGGAAAAGAAGGTAGTAAAAAAGACTTTGGAGAAGATTATGAAAGATGTTGAATGCCACTCTTAGTGAATATTACTTTTTATCCCATAAGCATCACAGTTTTATGATTTTTAAAGCAGTGTTGTGAGAACTCGGTCTGTGCTTCTAGTGGTAGTTTGGAGAATAGGTAGAAGGGAAGAGACTGAAAGCAAAGTCATCAATTATAGGAAATGTTTCTGACTTTTTACCTTCCAGGCACATTGTAGGATTATACTTGTCCATCACTTTTGAAGTTAGCCTGACCATGATTTTACTTTGATGAATGCAATATGAGTTGGAAATTAACAGGTCATCTTTAGGTGGACCCTTCAAGAATCAGTGTGAGACTTGCCTCCACTGGTAATCAAGGAAGAATAGAGATGGAACCACTCAGAGCTGTGTCCCTGAGAGAGAATGACATTTAACCTGCAAGCCAGAAGTCCTGTGATTTTTGTGAAATACCCTAATTTTTTTGGTCTCCAGTTTTCATTTTAAGCAACCTGGTGTAGGTCAAACTAAGCACAGATGCATGCACATGTTGACTACAAGTGATTGCTTTGCAGCTTTCTGATATAGACTTTGGTAATTTCCAGATGCAAAAATAAGGGAAAATACTGTAGATGAGTGATCACAGAAGGCTTTCTGGAAGTGGCAAGGTATAAGCTACATTTTGAAGGATTATTTCAGGCAGCTAGATTTTAAAAAATCACTTCATGAATTGGATAGGATTTAGTTTATTTGCTATAACTCACAAATCCATACAGTATATGGATTTTGTATATATAACTAATAACTTTTTTTGTTTTCCATTACGGGTCTTGGATGAAAAATATTCTTTCAATTTTTATTTTTTAGGATTTGGTCTAATGTTTTATAGAAAGGATTAATTTAATATAGCAATGGGAAAATGACTGGAATAAATGAAGAAATAATATCGTTTTTATGGATAAGGAGTCTTAATATCACATTCCAATTTTCTCTGATTAATCATAAATTCAATGTAGTTCCAATAAAAATGCCAACCGGAACTTTCTTGGAATTATAAAACTGATTCTAAAATTCATATAGAAGAAAACAATCCAAGAATAGCAAAGAAATTCTTAGAAAGGAAAATGAAAGTTGCTTTAACAAATATCAAAAGATATGTTAATGCTGTATGACTCAAAGAGTGTTATGTTGGTATAATGATAGCCGGGTAGATCAGTGTAATCAAATAGAAAGCTGAGAAATAGATTTATGCATATATGGGAAATTAATTTGTGATAGAGGTGGTATTAAAAATTAGTGGGGAAGTAGAGACCTGTTCATTAAATGATGCTGAAGCAAGGGGCTTTCTATGTTGGGGGAAATTAATATTAGATTCCTGTCTTACCCTGTATACAAAAATATATATTAAATGAAAACCTAACTGAAAATCAAACTATAATTTTGGAATATATACCCATTAGGATGGCTATTTCCACAAATAAACCAAAAACAACTGTTGATAAGGATGGAACCCTTGTGCATTCCTGGTAGGACTGTAAAATTGTATGACCTCTGAAGAAAACA